GGTCTCCCGTTATAAAGAAACCTCACACTTATAGCTCCCTCATGGACCAGCAGGTGGTGTGGAGGGCAGGGCACTGGTCCCACACGGCCACCTCTGTGGTTCGAGTCCCAGACCTGGTGACTTGAAAATCACACCAGGCACGCGTGTGCATGTGCCCAAGATCCCTAGAGGAGGACAGAGGAGAAGGGACTGTGGCGTAGGCCAGCCCCTGGGGGTGATTCCTCACTGTCTCTCTCTCTGTCTCTGTCTCTGTATGCTGAGCGCACATGCCCTGGGACAAGAACTAAAGAATGAGAGAGGCCCACCATTTGTGCCCGTGCTGGGGAATACAGACGCCCATGGAGGTCTGGTGTGCACGCTCAGGGAAGCCACACGCTGGGTTGTCTTACCTGGGTTCACTCGGAGCCGCCTCCCGGCTACGTAGGCGTCCACCAGGAAGGCCCCCATAATCACTACAGTCAGGGCCGCCGCCGCCAGTCGGATGAGGTTGCCTGTGGCGTAATCGCCAGACAGGGGACCTGGGGACAGGGGCAGCTCAGGGCAGTAAGTGCATCTCCCTCCATTTTTTTTTTTTTTTGGAGAGGTTTTTGCTCTAGGGCGCGTGCACTCGCCAGACAGAGAGACAGAGACAGAGAGATAGAAAGCGAGAAATCACCCCCCAGGGGGATAGCCACGCCGCAATCCCTTCTCCTCCATTTTCCTCTCGGGATCTTGGGCACGCACGCACACACGCCCAGCGTGAGTTTAAGCCACCGGGTCCGGGACTCGAACTGCAGTCGGCTACATGGGAGTTCAGCCACATAGCCATTACGCTAACTGCTGGTTCCACATCTCCCCTTCTGAAATGAAGCAGCCAACACTGACTCCCGCAGCCCCCTGCTCTCCCCGGCCAGCAGCCAGCTGTGCTTCGTTCGGTGCTGATGGCTGAGACTCAGTGTGAGGCGGGAGGAGAGCAGCGGTGTCCCTTCACGGTTCCTGCTGTCTACCCTCCCCTGCGCCTGCGCCTCTCATAGCTGCCGCCCGGCCTGTCAGCCAGGCCCACCGTACACTGCGCAGGCTGAGAGCCAGGGAGCGCAGGGGCTCTGGCGTCTTCTTTTATAAGAGGTATTTATTTAGGGACCAGCAGATGGCATGATGGTTACGTTGCTGGACTCCCATGCAGTCAGCGTGGTTCAAGTGACAGACCTGGTGGCTTAAACTACTGCCGGGCACGTGCGTGCCCAAGATCCCGAGAGGAGAATGGAGAAGGGACTGTGGCATGGCCATCCCCCCTGGGGGGTGATTTCTCGCTTTCTGTCTCTCTGTCTCTCTGTCTTTGTGGTGAATGCATGCGCCCTATAGCAAAAGCTCTCCCTTGAAAAAAAAAGTTATTTATTTAATGTCATTTATTATTATTATTATCATTATTTAATTTAACCAGAGAGAGACAGGGGTTGGGGGGCAAGGAAACAAGCCACCAGGTCCAGGACTTGAACTATGTCCAGCCATGTCAGAGTCCAGGTCTTAACCACCAGGCAGCCTCTGGCCCCTCAGTGTGTTCCTGACAGGACAACACCCAGCAATGCGGGCAGTGAGCTTTGCGGAGAAGGAGCGAGCGGTTTACCAGGTGAGCGTGCGCTGTGCGGTTTCAGCCAAGACAGCCTTGATCAAGCTCGGCACCTAAAGACAAGCTGCCTTTTATTTTAGAGAGGTCTCTCCTGTAGGGCGTGTGCACACCGGAGAGACAGAGAGAGAGAGATCACCCCCAGGAGACGGCCACACCGCAATCCCTTCTCCTCCTTTCCTCGCTCGGGAGTTTGGGCATGCACACACATGTCCAGCATGAGTTTCTAGCCTCCGGGTCCGGGACTCAAACCGCAGTCAGTCACGAGGGAGTCTAGCTACGTAATCATTACTCCGTCTGCTGGAGTCGTGGAGAAATGAGGAGCAACTAACGGAGAAATGCTCTCTGTGGAGTGAGAGAAGCTTTCTAAAAAGTAACAATAGTAAAAAACCTTGCCTGTCACCAGGATCTCCAGGCGGTCACTGGGCTCCGAGGCCTGGAAGGGAGGCCCCGCCTGGTGGAACACGCAGCTGTAGTTCCCGGCCACGGCGGGCCGCGCGCCCCGCAAGGAGGCG